GCGAAGAGTCCTTTCGGTGAATTAGCTTCGGCGAAGTGGGTTTCGACGAAACGGATTCGGCGAAACGTCCGGATACCCAAGTTAGCAGCTGCAATTACGCCTTTACCAGTTGTCATAATTTATTCGTCCTAACCTTATAGCCTTAATACTTGGTATGCAAGATCTTATCTAAGGTGTTTGATAACTACAATCCGCTTTGAGTATTAAATCAGTGTTTTTTTAAGCATACATGATTAATTTGGCAAGCGCTCGAGTCACTTTTATTCATAATCTCGTTGTATAATTCAAGCATTATTTATACCATTAATTTATCAAATATTTTCTGGTCACGTTCAAACCATGTAATGGGACCTCATGAAGAATTTTTAATTGCGTATGACTGGACTTGCAAAAGTCTGTTTGATTCATAAACTATTTGCGCCTATTATTTGAAGAAATTGCTGCGCCGCTAGTGATTATCAAATCGTCATTTCTGACCTGTCATTTCGGCCATTTATGACGTTTTCCCATCATTAATGAATTACCGCGGTAGAATTTCTAGATCGAAGATTTAATATAAACTTCGTTTCGCTTTTGTAGATTCTCTTCTCTTAAAGAGCGTCGGCTGGGGTAGGAATAGTTTGTTTTCTGGTATATTTTTTTTTAATAATAAAAATATTTCCTATTTCTTTCTTGTTAAATGATCGACGAAAATAGCATTATGAGTCGATCGTAATTTTCCAAAAGTTTGTCTGTCTACCACTTTTTTTATGAAAAAGATCATTTAAGATTTCTCCAAAATTTTTGTAACATAGCTCAGAACGGGGGGGGTATTAGGTTGATCCGTTCTATCTGGATGGAAATTCAACGTGAGATTTCGGTAGCGTTTATTAACTTCATCATCTGAAAGAGGCAAGATATCTTCCTTATGAGGAGAATTCAATAGATAATATAAGGTTGGCGTGATTATATAAGAAATTCTTACAGATTTTCTGATAATTTTCAAAAGTCTTTGGTATCTCACCAAGTTCTTTTAAACAATTTCCGATATTTTTAATACACTTAAAATGCTTTGAAGTACATTTATGTTGATCACCTTTAATTAATAAAAAAAAATTTTAAAAAAAAATTTAAAAAAAGAATCACAAAGAAAATAAAACTTCACAGCCTTACCACAGCCTCAGATACGAGAACCTAAAAATAAAAATCAAAAAAGTTCTAAAAATAAAATCTTATCAGTTATCACTGCGGTCGAATCGAAAAAAAAGCGAAAGGCGCAAGATATTTTTGAAAATATCCGAAAACGATCATCTGATCAATGCCTCATTTCGATCTAACCAGATTTAGGTTAATTCTTAAATTTCAAAAATTTTTTTTTTCGTTAAGCAAAAAAAAAACCTCTTTCATTCGTATGCCATATAAGCATTAAACACAAAGCATGAAAGCATTCAAGCAACTAAATTGAATTTATTTGTTAGCCCAAAAAATAGAAAATATTAATTTCTATAACCATTGAAACCTGAAAATTATCGGTTGCCCGATTTTTGTGAAACTTAATATTTATTCCAGAGGTTTAATTATATTCAAATCCGTCTTTTTATTTATTTTTCTTATTTTTTTTGAAATGCACCTAGGCAATCATTCCAGACTATTCATTAGTTTCAATGCTTCTAAAAAAAAAGAAAAGAAAAAAAAAAAATATGATTAAAATGGAGGTCAAAAAGTTTTTTTCGCATTAAAAACCGATGCACACTTATTTTTCATAATTAGAAATAACATTTTGGCCCCGAGTAAAAACAACCCAATTTTTGGTAACCCGCGTGCCCATGTGACCATCATCAAAGGAGTGATGAATCAATGAAACGTTTGTGGAGAAGCTTGCGTATGAACTATGTGGGGTTGGCTAGCCTAATCTAATTTTGGAAGTTATCGGTTATTCATAAAAAAAACTTTTTTCTTCCAAAACTTCCTTCTTTTTGTAGGAAAAAAGAAATGGACTTGGAATCTCTTAATATTAATTGCATGTTGCGTCACGTCATACGATGATTTTTCAATGTGATCTTTTGTAATACATACGAAACAAGCATAAAATAGCTTGAAATTTCGTCAAGTCGATCAAAATATAAATAATAATATGTGGGAACTTTTAATGCGAATGATTACTTATTTTCTTACAAAACTAGCAATAACGAACAAATATCAAATATGGATAGATGATGCTTGTAGTGGAAACTATTTGAATCCTTTTAAATACTCAGAGTTTACGAATATCGAAATTATAGGATATGGTGGTTTTGGATGTGTCTATAAAGCTCGTTGGAAACATAACATCTTCGCTTTAAAGTCCTTTAGTATTGATAAAGTAACTCTGAAAGAAGTTGTAAATGAGGTATAATTATTACACTTGTTTTATTTTGGGTATATCTATAAATCGCTTTGTTAAATTTGACTCATAATATAGATAAAATTACAAACGGTAGTCCACTTCCATGAAAATATCATAAAACTTTGCGGTATCACAAAGACAGACGGTATGGGTCAATATATATTTAAACTTTTTATTATTTGATTTGATTTATACATTAAATCTGTCTAAATTTTTTTTTTTTTTCAGATTTCATTAATCAATTAAAATATTTATTGGTTTTGGAATATGCTAATGATGGGACGTTAAGTTCTTATCTAAACAATCGTGAACTAGATTGGGATGATAAGCTTCGTTTGGCCATGCAACTATCAAGTGCTGTAGCATATGTACACGAATTTGATATTGTTCATCGCGATTTGGTAATTGCGTTTTTTAATTTTTTGATTATTAATTATCGTATTTCTTAATAATGTTTCTTTTATTAAATAAAATTTATTTTTGTATAGCATGCAAATAACATACTTATACATCGGGATAATATTAAGGTTGCAGATTTCGGTTTGTCAAGGAAGATCACTGATGCTGACGCCCCAGGTTCTGACGTTTCAAGTGATACAAAAAATTTTGGTGTAATACCATATGTAGATCCAAAAAGGCTTCAAGATTCAGATTACAAATTGGACAAAAAATCTGATGTATACAGTGTTGGAGTATTGACATGGCAAATTTCAAGTGGACAACACCCATTTTATGCCGAAACTGATGAAAGTTTATTACGATGGATTATAATAAACGGAATAAGAGAAAATCCTATTAAAGGGACTCCTGTTAAATATATTGAGTTATATGAAGGTAAATAAGATCAATAGCATTTAATTTATTAACGTTAACGGATTTAGATAATTTAGATAGTTTATACTAATTTAATCATTTACTAAATCCGATAAATTAGATTGTTGGAGCAATGATCCAAATGAACGTCCAGATATGCGATTTGTTGCTTCAAGACTTGAATCAATATATTTAAATAAAATGATGCATAAACCAAGCATTCCAAATATCAATATAGGTAACGGGATATACTTATCAAATGAACTTAAATCAATTATTGATTCAATTTTTGAATTAGATATCAATGACTTCATAAAGTTATCTGAAAAGATCAAATCAAATATAACTGAAAATTCTTTAATTACATTAAATCAAGCAACTGCATCATCAACAGAATATGTTAATGAGCTATTTATTTTTCTAATTAATCAACTTACAAGAAAACTCATAGAAATAATAGAAAATATTTGGTTGTACAAATTATTTCATTATTATAATGCTAGTAACAAAAAATATAAATAAACATTATATTATCTTCATTGAATTATTAATATTAATAACTTTATAATACTTAGAAAAGTAGCATTGTAGCATTTAATAGTAATCCGTGATATTTGCAATATTTCTGTATTTTTATCCACTTGTTTAATTAAAAATTACATCATATTTCTTCCTAAATCAGAAATGAGTGTTTATATAATTTCTTGTAATTTTGTAAATTTTTATTTCTTAAATATTTCTTTATAATTTAAGTAAATGTTCTAAAAATTCTAATGCTCAAAAATTTTATACTATATAATCTCAAATACTAAAATTATAAAATTAAAAATCCTAATTAATACAAAATCTTTATTAAAGATAATATTTCAATTAATTACAATAGCATTATAATGTTGTAATTAATTATTATATTATTTAGAACTATTTAATTGTATAATTATATAAAGCTATACTTATATAATTTTATTACTATTACTAAAATATCAGATGTGTGATAAATTAACTAAAATTCAGTTTAATTAAATTTAAATTTAATTTAAAATTAAATATTATTAAGAATCACTAAATTCAACTTATTATTAAAATCAAGTTATAACTAGTTATAATTAGTGATAAATAATAATTACATTATTATAGTACTATTTTATTTTAATACTAAAAAATTTTTAAAATTTTAATTTGATATTAAAATTAAAAAAATTAAAATAAATAAAGTATTTATTAAATTTATTTACAAATAAAAAATAGCAAATATTATTTTTATTATTTATTAAAATAAATTAATCAGATAATCAACTGAATTTTAAACTTATAATAATAAAATATAAAGATAAAGAGATGTAATAACTATGTAATACTTATTTATTGCTAATTATATATTATTTTTATACAAAGCTAAATAATTTTTTATTTACAATTTAAATTATAAAAATTATTAATAAAAAATATTTTATAATTATATTAAAAAATTATTTTTTAATAAATTATAAATATTAATTTATTAAAAAAATAAAAAAGATTTTTATTAATTTTAAATAAATTCAAAAATTAATAGATTTTATATTTTATTTATTAAAATTTATTTAGATTTAACATTAATATAAATAATAATTTTTTTTAGATATTTTTTTTTATTACAAAGTATTTATTAAATATATTTAGTTTATTAAATAATCTTTCAAATATTTATATTATTAAATTTTTTATTTATTTACTTTTTAATTATAAATTTATTTAAAAATAAAAAGCTTTTAAATTATATTATTTAAATAAGAAAATAATAAAATTATTATTAATAATATAAAAGTTACATATTAATTAAACTTGTAAAAAGTTATGTTACAGTAAAATTTTAAATAATTTATATTATTTTAAAAAATTAGTAATTTAAATATTATAAAATTATTGTCTAAATCAATCAAATAATTTATATAATAAAAAATAATTTTCATAAATTATTTAAAATATTATTATCATATATTAAAAAATATTTTTCCTATATGGGGATGATCAATAGAAAAGAAGGAAATCTACAAATTTTAAATAATTTTAGTTATTAAGCTAGTTTAGTTTACTGACTATGATTAGTAGAGTAAAAGTGAAACAATAAAAAAATTTTGACTAAAAAGTAGATTTTCCTCTTTTTTACTGACTGCCTCCTATATATTATATTTTAATACTTTTTATATAAGATTTAATATATAAATATATTTTTTTAATTAAAAATTAAATATTTTAAATTTAATTTATTTATTTTAAATAGTAATCTTTTTTTTAATAAAAAAATTTTAATTTATTATATATGAATTTATTATTATTATATAAACAAATATTAATACTTATTTAAATTTTATTTTAAATAATATATTATATAATTAACAAAATTTATTAGATATATATAAAATTATTTATCTAAATTTATTTTAGATTTAATAAAATCTAAACTTTAGTTTTACTAACTTTTAATTAGAGTTTTAATATTGTTTCACTATTTTATAAATTTTGATATTGTTTTATCATTTTCTTAGTTTTATAATTTTTTTAATAAGATTTTGCTAAATTTTACTTTTTATTATTTTGATAA